GAGGACTAGAGAAGCTAGGAAGTTTCAAGGAAGACCTCATAGAATAAATGATCCTTAAGTGATCAATAATATTTTGAATAAAGTGCTATTTTAAACTAAATATGTATTAGAAATCTTTTTACAGATTTGCTTATTAATGTATGGTTAAGCCTTTCTCTAGAGAAACTGTGAACATGATTAACATCCCTCTGCAATTGTAGGAAATCATATAGATTTTTTCTGATGTCTCTAGACTCATACAAGGTGGGCAATGAGACAGTGAAAGGAGAAGCCAGTTTTGGAAAAAGTCTGTACAAAAGATGAAAATGTCAAAGAGATGGTGATATTAAAATGGGTTGGATCAAAGAGGGTAATGATCATAAGAACTAACATTTACATCATTTGGATTATATGCCAGGGGCTACTCTAAGCACTTTGCATGTGTATGTAAGGTCAGTTGAATGTATTTATGTGAGTCTACTTCTGGGTTCTTTATTCTGTTTCATTGATCTCTTTGCCTGTTCTTTTACCAGTACCACACTGTCCTGTTTACTATAGCTTCCTGGTAAGTCTCAAAGTTTGTTAGTGTCAGTCCCCTAACTGTTTTTCTCCTTCAATATTGTGTTGGTAATCCTGGATCTTTTGCCTCTCTTTATAAACTTTAGGATCATTTGGTAAATATCCATATAATAACTTGCTGGGATTTTTATTGGAATTATGTTGAATCTGTGGATCAAAGTGGGACAAACTGACAATTTGTCAGTATTGAGTCTTCCTATCCATGAACATGGAATCTCTCTTCATTTATTTAGTTCTTTGATTTTTTTTCATCAGTTTTATAGTTTTCCTCATAAAGATCTTTTGCATATTTTATTCAATGTATACTGAATTATTTCATTTAGTAGCATGCTAATGTAAATGGTATTATGTTTTTGCCTCAGATTCCACTTGTTTATTGCTGGCATATAGGAAAAGTGATTGATTTTTATATATTAACTTTGTATCCTAGAGCTTTCCATTAATTTATTATTAGTTCCAGGAGTGTTGGGGTTTTTTTTTTTTTTTTTTTTTTTTTTTTTTTTTTTTTTTTTTTTTTTTT